GAGTATGTATATGGCATGCATGTAGGCACTTTGGAGAGAGGGAACACAGTACTCTAAACTGTGGGAAAATCTTCCTGTAAACCCACATGAATGGTTAGCTCAGATTTCTAGCTTTTTTTAAAAAAGTAAATGTACTTTAAAATCACAAAGATATTGGATTAAAAGTACAGATCCTATCAATTCTAACCTTTATATGACAGACATTGGAATATTCCTAAAGACTGGGTCCTTTTTATTTCAAAATGTTCCAATATCAATTGGTCTCTATGAACTTTGATGGATGTTTTACAGTTTAAGTGGATAGAGTTATTCAACCTGCATGACATATACATACAGGAAACAAATAGATTACTAGCATTTTAAATACAATTTTGCAAAAGGTCTTTTCTCTTTTCTGAACATTCAGAAACATTCTATTTTCGTCCAGATGGATTTCTTTTATAATTTCTGCAGTTAAGAACTGCTAATGGACATCTTGTACTGATGTGAAAGCAGCTTCCATATCAAACTTCACATCTATATTGCAAAGTGATATGTGACATTCATAACAAAGAACACATAGAAGGATTTTTTCAAGAGTAGATTCAGCACACTGAGGCCAAAGAGTAAAGTGACTACTTTTTTTTGATATATACTTACAATATTTTAATATTCTATCCCAATGACCTATATAGAAGTGATATCTTTGTTCTAAATGTAGGCTTCACTTAAGGAATATTTTTCAGTCTTTACTTTGGCTTTTCTCTCCTCCCTTTATAACTTGTGAAAACTTGTAACTGTATTACTTGGTGAAAACTTTCAGAATGTATTACTTAATTCCGTCTGTTCTAAAAGGAACATTATAAAACAATTTCCACTGGCACATGAACAAATAACTTACATTTGTGAAACAATGCCCTTCTGTTTTTTAACTCTCTGGCTTCCTGAAAGTTATTCCAAGGAAACAAATCATAAATGCAACATTCTATTTGTTCAGATTGAATTGCTACTTCCTAATGAATTAAGCTTCAGGAATTTTTACATCTTCCTCCGTCCACGTAACGGTAGCAAAAAATGAGAAGACACAGAGGGAAAGCTCTCCACAAACCCTCTGTGGACTGCTGCATGACCTTGGACTGTACACTGGGAAAATCTTGCTTTTAATTGGATGCATACACACACTTAATGCTTTTGCCAGCTGGGAAACTGATACTTTTCAAATGTGACTAGAAAAATGTGCTAGATGACTTTCCAGTGGAGGGGGTTAAAAAACTAAGATTTCACATGGCTACTCCTTCCTAGCATGAGCTTGTAAGAGCAATACTATAAAACAAATTAGAAGTGATGTTGTGAAGTTAATGTATTTGTTTTGAAGGAGAAAGTACCTCACTTCATTATAATCTTCTGCAACACAAGAAACAGGAGTGGAATTTCATTTCTCCCATATTTACTTGTTTCTAAATTAAACCATATCATAGCTTTCAACTCTACTGACCTGACAAGTAAGCATACTTCATCCCTGCCATGAATAATAGTTGTCCCTCTTCCAAGACCTCCTACTTCAGTAATTGTGTTCTCAAAGAGTCAAAGCAGAAGGTATTTTAGTCTTAAATACATATATTTGAAAATTGCCAAAAAAAACTGTCTGATTTAGAATTTAATATTAAGAGAAATAAAAATGACTTTGGGTTAATTTTAAAACCACTAAATTATCTTAATTTTCCATGAAAATATAATAAGAAAATCATGGACTCTACAGTTCGCTTTAGAGGGGTAAAGGAGAGTTGTGGACAATGTCATATTTTAGGAAAGCATTTTGCATTTTGGCATCAGTATCACATTAATAAATAAAGTAGCTAGTGAAAGCACAAATTAAATAGCCATATAAATGTCTAGAATTATCTTTTATAGGTTTTCTAATGAAGAAAAAATAAGAATTGCTATTTTGTTCTTATGAAAGCCATATAAATGTGCTCCAATGCATCTCAAACTTTTATATGCATATGAACATCAAATAGGGATCAAAATACAGATTTGAAAGCATTAGGCTCAGCATAGAGCCTGAGAATCTGAATTTATAACAACTTTTCAGGGCATGCTGCCCACCATAGCTTATTACATGCTCTGCTTTAGTCTCTGTCTATACTGTGTACATGTTTTGGTATAAAAGATATTCACCAACCATCATTAAGTGAAGAAAGCAGACTTCTAACCAGTATATATTGTATGGTACCATTTTGTGTGTATTGATGTGTGTGTTGGGGTGTAATTTCTATATGCCAAGAAGAGGGGAAAAATACTGTTAAAACAATAACTGGTCAGAGCTGCTTTCGCCCACTGGAGGAATGGCATGATTTCTCTCAAGCCTAAAACCTTCATTGTTTAGAAAAGATGTCTGAGTAGGCTTAAGTGTGGAAACTGAGACCCTCCCGAAAAGGGTCTGGAGAGAACCATCAAAACAGAATGTTGAATTATTCCCTAGATGGAAAGTCACAGGATCTGGGGCAATGGGAAGACTGAGTGAGAAGGGATTGGTTGAGAGAGAGATTATCCCAGCCCAGCAATGCAGCAGGCAGCTTATACTTTCAGATAGTGAAACATTTTCATGATGAAGTAGCTAAAGGCTTTTTGAAAATAGAGATGCATTAAGCATTTTCTCTTCCAGTCCTCCCCCTTGCCCCCAGGAAGGAGAATCATGGAATCAGGGATAGGGGCTATGCTGCATATTTGAGACTACACAAGAGGCTAGACACTAGAGAGATCAATACAGCAGTGGAAGAAGCAAGCTGAAGCAAAATGGAAGCTGGACAACCATTTGCCTACACCAAGAACCCCTAGAGACACTGAGAAGGATATTAAGTTTCCAGTGTAAAGGAGTAGTCCTGATGTGAATCACATGGAAAATTTACAGGGTAGAATGACTCCCACCAATCACAGGGCTTAGGGCCATCCAAGCAATTGCATGCTATGTAGACAGAGAAGAGGTCTGGAAAAATACAAAGCAAAATATTAACTCTATTTACCTTTGAGTGATGGGATTGGGGAGAATTTTTTTTTTTGCTTACCTATATTTTCTGAAAACACATTTTTCATTTAAAAAATGTATTACCCTAGAATTGAAAAAAGCATTTTTAATTACACAGATACTCACACACACACGCACACATGATGCCGCATTCCAGGAGAAGTGATACTTAAGCTGAGACCTAAGAAATGAGTAAGTATCAGCCAGGTTAGGACTAGGAGTGAGTAGGAGGGCTTTCTATGCCAAGACTCTGGGACAGAAGGGAGCTGGGTGCACTGCAAGAGCTCAGAGATGGTGTGACCAGCGTGAGCGAGAGGAACAGAGTGATGCAGGCTGGGACTAAACCAACAGGCATGAGACAGAGCGCACTGAGTTTTGGAGGCCAGAGAAAGCAGCCTGCTTTTCTTCTGAGTGTAATAGAAAGTGACTGAAATGTTTGAAATGGAAAGTCACATGATCTGATTTATGGTTTTAAAATATCAGAGTAGAAGAATTGGTAGGTTGAGAGAAGTGGCCAAGTGTGGAAGCCAGAAGTCAGTTACGAGCCCTTTGCAGCTCCCAGGCAAGAGGGGATAGTAGCTTTGACTACAGTGATGGACTTAAAATTGACATATCTTGAAGATAGATGGGCTGAGGATTATGGAATTCTATAAAAACAAAGAGAAAAAAACAATCATATAAATGAACAGAACAAAAACAAACAGGTCTCTGGGATTTGGAATTTGAGCAATTGAGTGGGTGGAGGTGTCATTTTCTGAGATGGAGACTGAGGGCAAATGGGTTTAGGAAGGAAAAGAAAAAAATCTAGTTTTAGAAATGTTAAGTTTGAAGTGCCTGTACCATAACCAAAGAAAGATAAACAGCAGAAAACTCGATCAATAAGAAGTCATGGGCAAACTGGGAGTCACTGGTATCTAGCTAGGGAGAATGAATCATTTATCATCCAACCTGGGACACTCTTGAAAGTGGAAGGGGATGCTATTAAGAATTTTTGCTGGGGCAGTAGGCATAAACAGGGCAACCCATGGGAGAGTATACAGTGAGAAGAGAAGGGGGCCTAGTACTGACTTCTGGAGAGTTCCAATATATATCTTTAAGTAGTATGTGGAGGAGGAAAAACCAAACTACAGGCAGAAAGAGGAATTCCAAGAGAATGTGATGACATGGCAACTGAAAGAAGAAAGTAGTTTAAGAAGGAGAGACTGCAAAACTGAGTCAAATATGGCTAACAACAGCTCTGATAAGATTGAAGGGAAATGTCCATTGGATTTAGCAATGTGAAAATCATTGATGACCTTAGCAAAAGTAGTTTGGGTGCACAGGTGGGTGCAAAAGCCAGAAGAGATTGAGTTGAATGAGTAGACACTGAGGAAGCAGACCAGACAATGTGCACACAGCTCTTAGAAGAGTCTTGGCTGGAAAGGAGAACATTGAAATCTAACAGCAGTTGCAAGGGAATATGGGGTAAAGGTAGGGATGGGCAAATTTAGCATAACAGGCAGTAGAACGTATTTAAATGATAATAAAAATAATCCAGGAGAAATTATTCTAGTAGAATAAATCTACAAGAGTGTTTATAGTAGTTTGTTCATAGTAGCAAAAACCAAATATCTATCAACAGAAAAGAAGACACATACAGTATGGTATATTCACACAATGGAATATTATACAGCAGTAAAAGTAAATAAACAGTAAAAAGGAATGAACAATAAAACTATGTGAAATAGAAGGGAAAAGGAAAAATGATGAACGTGGTATTTTGGCTGATGGTCATCTCAGGTCAGGGAGGCAGGTGATGGGAAGATGGAGTGGAACCTGGGCCTAAAATGGAGATTATTTCAGCTTCCTGGTTTGTGTTTCAAGTGGTAAATTGCAGATACTTACCACATTGTGAAAAATAAAAATACTTAAACTCAAAAAGAAGACAGGAACAGAGCTATGTTAGGAGTGTGTTATGAATCACATCTGTTACTAATTTAGGTCTGTGTACCTGAGGTCCAGTGGCCAGAAGGGGGTGGAGGGAAGAACTCACTTCATCAGTTCTGCAGTGATGTCAAGACAGCTCACAGAATACTGATCACAGTTATCTGCAACATAATGGCTGAGGGGGAGGAAGGAACACTGTGGCAAAGACAAGCAAAAGCTAAAGGGAAAAGTCCTTCTGTCTTTACAAGTAAGGCAGTTCAAGGCATTTTCTATAGATAGTAGAGAGCTACTGTATCCCCCTCAATTCTGATATTTCCTTGTATCTCTTTTTCTGGGCATCAGAGAATATCCAGTCCACCAGTGTGAGCTGTTTGGGGATGGTTTGATTTTTCAAATCTATTATTCTCCTTGTTCCAATTATAGCAGCTACTTAATTGTCTCACATATGGTGAAATGTTCTTTGTAAAGTAATTTTATTAGTAATATTTCTACTGATACACAATATACCTATTATCATTATAACACACTCACTTGGCTCATAATTATTTCACTAATAGTTGAATCTCCAAAACCAATTAAGTAGTATTACTGAAACTAGATTTTGCCCTATTAAGTTTCCTTTTACTGAATTCACCAATGTCTTTTATTTATCAAGATCACATTGTATTTTAAGAACATCTTCCTAAATAATTTGTAATTGCTTACCTCCCCAATTTTTATCATCTGTAGACTCATTCCATCAAAGTACTTTCCACTTTCTCTTCCAAATGCTGCAGAAACATATGGGGGAAAAGACTGAAACAGACACTTGACTGTAGGCAAGTCAGAAGTTTGTTAGAGACAAAAGCAGAGAGGGCAGAGCAGCCTCACACAACTCATGTCTCACTGCTTGGTTAGCAGCTGCGACGCACTTGTAAGAAAACTCACGGTAGCTTGGCTTTTGTGCTGTCATTATAATGATTCCAGAATACTCTTCGGGCTGGGCAGGGAGTACCCTCTGATTTCCTAGGGGTATGTTAACCAAATGTTTTCCCTGGAAACAGATTTGCCACCCCCACTCCCCTTCCCCCAGGGATTCTCCTTCTGAGTAGAATCCGGGGCTCTGGGATGCAATGTTTTAAGCCTCAGCAGCACCATCACTATTCAGGCTGCTTCCTCAGACTGCTGGGCGCTCTCAGAGGAGGCAGGACAGCTGTCGGCCAGATTTTCAACTCTTCCTCTGGATTGTGATTAATTCAATGATTTGTTGATGTATTAACCTCTTCATTTATTTAGATAAGTATAGAGTCTAGCAAGCATGTAGTCGATTATGAGATAAGGTCTAGAAAATCCGAGCCAGCTGGCCACACCGTGCAGCTCTCATGACTCCCACCTCCCATACTGCATGGTTGCTTCCTCCCTTTGAGCAGAGAGGTAATGATCTTGCAAGCCAAGACTTGTGATTTGTAAGATCCACTATTTTGGAACTCAAAGGCCAAGGCTTAAAGGAAATTAGTTCCAGAGTTCTTGCCAACAGAAAATTGGAAGGAGACTAGAAAAAAGCCAGACCACCCCATCTCCACAGAGAAAGTCTGTTCACACTCTGAGCAGGACTTTCATACAGAGGCAGAGAAAAGCTTAGATGCTGTGTCCTGCCTCACCATGGCTGAGTCCCCCACCGCTACCTACCTACATCATCCCAGGTAATCCCTTTTACCTGTCTCTACCTCAGTACCTTCACTGGTCAGAAGGCACTTACTGTGTGGTTACTGTGCTACTGTGCTCACTGCTCTAGCTGTAAAGTTCTATTACAAAGTCAATTACAAAACCAGCAGCTAATGACACCCTTCAACGTTCTCTTTAGAAACAGCCTAGTAATTGCTTATTCAAACAATATTTGTTGAGAGCTACTTTGTGCTAGAACTATGTACACACACTGCATGAGGTACTGGGAACAAAGGAAGGAAGGATGAACAAAACTACACTTTCCTGACGCCTGAGACCGCCTTGCAACCCTGAGACTCCATGTCTGAGGATGAAAACCCTGTTGGGCCGGAGCTGGCAGAGGAGAAGAATGGAAGCAGCCCGGGCCACACTAATACCACTGAGTGGATGAAACAGTTCCTTCTCCAGGCTTCCTGAGCTTCCTGCCTCTACACTTCTGGTTATGTGAGATAATTAAATGTTTTATTGTTCAAGCCACTCTTGGTGGATTTTCTGCTTTTGTAGCAGAAGGCATCCTAAGTGATACTTACTGTGTCTCCACTGTCAGCTGCCCCAAGACCTTTTCTCACTGTTGGCTTCTGAGGTACAAACTATACTCGCTGGTATTCAGAGAAGGCTTTATCGGGCCCCTGACACTCTCCTGTGGTTTTAGAAGTACCAACCCCTTTCCATTTACCTCTGCCCAACATCTGTCCTCAGCAGGCTCTGAAACCAGCCCACAACCCCCAGCACAGGTATGACTGTGTCCTTCTTTCCGGCACCCACAAGCCAGTCTCTCCTGACGGAAGATTCTTCTTTCAACAATTCTTTATCTGAGTCCCTAAATATATCAGAACTTCCTTTTTCACAATATTTTAAACCATAAAATAAAAAATGACATAATCAATGCAAACAGTTTCACTTCACACAAAATGATTTTGTTAGTAAGTCTATAAAGTTATAGGCCAGGGCAGATCCCAATACTAATGTTATCAAACTATAAAAAACAGAGTTGAAGATATCATTTGATAAGTGTATAATCTTGTCCTCAGTTCTAAGGGGAAGGTAATGAAACTTGAAAAATGCCAGTAGAGTTTGGCCAGAATGGCATTATTGTTTAGACTCCCTCATTTCATCTTGCTCCCCTCTTATCCACACAATAATCAAAATTACCTTTCTGAAAGGTATATCTAACCATGTCTATATGAATTTATAACCATGAACAAAGAACAGACAAGAAAGAAGTTTCTTTAAATCAGCTTAAATGTCATTCTGAGCCCCATAGTCAGACATGTGTGAAGAAATTCTGCCTCAGTGATGAATGTGGCTCCCCTTCCTTTGAATCAGGCAAAGACCTTGCAGGACTGAAGCTTCTTTGGTCTTTACCCAACAAGGCTCATGCCTGAAATGCCCAGTGTCCAAGGCTTCCTGTCCCTCAGAGTCTGAGGAACTGCTGTTCCTGTGACCTGGGGCCAGGCTGGGAGGCCCTCTGCTTAGCCAGGCTCACCTGGAGCATCTCTCGCCCACTCTTCGCCAGTGCAGGCCCAGACACCAACTCTCAGCAGGGTCAGGGAGGCAGGTGTGAGCTGGCTACTTCCAGAGTCCTCAAACTGCAAGTCCTTCCCAGGCTTAGAGAACTTACTGTCTCTCTCCAAACCCTCATAGGCTCCCTCTCCCCCAGCCCCACTCAAAGACAGGTATCGTTTCTTTTGTGAGCTTAATTTCTACAAAATCTAGAAATGCCTCTTATAATTAAGTAACTTCTCCTTCACCCACCTTCCATTGCCACCAAAAAGTCCTGAGTCAAGAGGACACAAGCACCAGCACTGCAGAACTGAAGTAAGAAAGGAGAAATAAAGCCAGAGGGCGAGGGGTTCTAAAAGATTATCTCCACTTGAATGTATCACTCTTCTGTTTAAAATCCTTCAGTAATTTGTCATTGCTCTTAAGAAAAAGTCTCAACTCCTTAATATGGCCTACCAGGCCCACCTTCCCTTTTACCCACCTTGTCTGAACTGGGAGACCCAAAGGGGTCTGACATCATCCCACCTCTCTAGCCTTATGATAAAGGGTGGTGTCAAATGCCCAGTGAGATGCTTGTTCCCAAAATATTCATGAAATTGTAAGATGTTAAAGGACTAACTACCCCACATTCTAAGACTAGGGACCCAGAACCCTGCTCTTTGTTATGGCCTTCCAGCTCCTCTAAGGGTTGCCAGAAATTTCTGCCCATAACCCTAATGTCACTATCGCTACAACTAAGTAGTAAGACTGAGGACAGAGAAAGGTTGCATTTTGGAGAAGCACAATGTCTGTGAAAAGACTATCCCTTCCCTAAGCTAACTCTGGGGGCAGTAAAGGGAGTTATTATCACCCCTAATGTCAACAAGGGGCCAAAACAATTCAAAGAATAGGTGTGACTCCACCCTATAAGAGAAGAACTAACGACCATCCCCTCTCACCTGAAAGCCATCCCATTACTGAACCCTGGAACCACTAATATGGCTGAAATTCCCAGCAGGGCATATTTTCACCTTGTGGGGAACAAAAATCTACAAGTTTCTTGGGGGTAAGTGGACCAGAAGGAAGGTGACTGAGTTTGAGAGAGAGAGAGAGAAAGAGAGAGAGAGTGTGTGAGAGTGTGTATGTGTGTGTGTGTGTAAAGAGATTTTTTAAAAGGGAATTGGCTCATGTTTTTGCAGAGACTTGACAAGTCCAAAGTCTGATGGGAAAGCCAGCAGGATAGAGACTCAGAAAAGAGTTGCAGTTCAAACCCAGAGGCCATCTGCCATAGAACCAGGCAGAGCCTTTTGCAGATGAAGTCCAAAAGCAGGCTGCCCCAGAATTCCCACTTGCTCAGGGGATGTCAGTCTTTTTTTCTATTCAGGCCCCAGCTGACTGTATGAGGCCGCATTATGGAGGCAATCTGCTTCACTCCAAGTCCACTGATTTAAATGTAAGTATCATCTAAGACCACCCTCATAAAAACATCTAGAATAATGTTTGACCATATCTGGGCATCATGGCCCACCCAAGTTGATACATAAAATTAACCATCGCAACATTACTTCACCAAAGAGTAGGAATGTCTACTCATTTTGTGGCAGCCCAAGATAAGCCTTGCACGGAAGTTCCCTGGTTATTAAAACTACCACCTACCAATCTGGTGTGGTCTACCTCTTTCTTGGGACTCTCCCTGCCGTCCGTGTAGTGGTGGTGGGGGGGCAGTTTTCACCTGGGGAACTCCCAAGATTATGAACCAACATGGGTAATAAAGGAAGGAGACCAGGTCATGACACTGACACCCCAGGAGCCACTATCCCAGCCTGGACTTGTGTCATTCCAGACTCTTTATTTCTGAGTGAGAAATAGACCTTATTTTATTTAAACTACTGTTATTTCTCAATCACTATAGCTGGACCATATCCTAATTAATAGACCCCATTGGACCATAAGCTCTAATATCGAGATCAAATATTAAGTTTTGCTGAAATCTCACCAGAAATATTAGGTCAGCAAATGGGCAGGAGACTAATCTGGCTGACTGGACAAATTAATCAATTCTTTACTTAAGACACGTATCAAGTTTCTTCCTTGTCCCTACACTGATTTCTGACCAGAAACCAGGAACCCAAAAAAGCCAGTTTGTAAGCAAAATTTCTGCGATTTTCTTTATTAGCAAATGAATCTGCCTACAAATTCCAACTCCACAATTCACTGCTTTTCATCTGTAAAATTCTGGATTTGCACCACCACTAGCAATTTTTGAGATGTAAAACCTATAGGAGCATAGTCAGCTTTTCTAAAGTCCCTCTACTGAAACTGCTCCATCCATTGGGAAAAGTCTATTTAAAACTGGATCACGTAGAAAAGATCCCACATCCTGTTTTGGCTGATGACCTTCACCAGATGTGGCTTAACTGGTTCTATCCCCAGGGTTTCCTGTGAGTTGAGAGTTAGATTCCCAAGTCAATAACATAATTAATGTTAATTAGTCTCAAGTTTGACTTTTTGACATGCATACCTCATAAGTAGTGGCGTCATATCGGAATATACCTCTTGTCTGGTTTTCTCACTTTTAATGATG